CCCATTTGCACCCGCCACAGTCCCCACTGACCAACCCCCCAACCCCAAGGCTCCCCAAGGAGGAACCACCTTTGCATCTGTCAGTTTGCCTCTGGGTACTGGGGGCCCTGCGCCGCTTGGCTGCACTCGGTCCCGGGGAGCCTAAATCTTGGGTTTCACGGTACCTGTTCTTTGCCTGGTCAGAACAGCCCGCCGGCCCCTCTGGGTTCACAGGCGTGCCCACCTCCCACGGGAGCAGGGTCCCGCCTCCCACCCTGCTACCCCGTCCTGCAGGGCCCAGCCCAGGTGCCGCCAGGCCTCCGGTCTCTCAGCACCGCTGTGGGCGGGCCTGTTCAACAGCAGCACCCTGGAAGCCTTGGGACCCCAAGGCAGCCCGATCTGTGGAGTCTGAGTTTCCCATTTGGCAGTCCTTCTGGTTGCTGATTTGAAATACAGGACCCGGCACAAATAACGCTCCTTTGTTATTACACAGTCCTAAGCATATAATTCTGTAACAGTGTCCCACTCAGGCACACCGTGTGACACTTTAGGTGAAATGTTCAAATTAAAACTTTAAGTTATTTTACGCCCCTACCATTGCCCTACCAGCCACACTGGGGCAGGCGTTACTTCTGCCGGGCCCGGTACAGTATCGCTTCATGACGAGCCTTTGATTTGGGGGCTGTCAAAGGTGAGTGTTCTGGTCTTGTGGGAAACACACTGTTTTGACAGCCATCGGTGCCTTTGGCTCGTGTCCCCAGCACGTCTCCTCGGCCCAGAGGTCACCGCATTGGGCAGACGTCCTCAGCAGGCCGGCCACAGAGCCTCCCGCCCTCCTGGGTCGAGGCTAAGCGAGAACAGCTAAGAGACTTGAACCTCGTCAGTAGGACCTTTCCCGGGGAGGGGCCTCAGCGTGCCCCCTGCCCAGATCGGATCTTGTCCATCTCTAGCACCTTCACGAGGCAGCAAAGGGGTTGCATAAACCAGGGGCTTACCTTCCTGAGTCAGCCTGGCCTCCGCCAAACGCCGCACCGTGCACCTGTCAGCCGAGGCGCAGGAGGACGACGCCCAGGAGGTTGTCCCTCCCGTGTTTTCTTCTCCTTGTTTAAACCCGTGTTTTCTTCTCCTTGTTTAAACCCGCGCGAGCTGCAAGCACCTTCGTGCACTGAGCACTGACCAGCCACGTGAGGAAGCCGTAGCTCCGTGCGGCGATGCTCGTTCCGGTCTCCCCTGAGTCGGCCGTCCAGGAGACGGTCCCGGGCCCAGGGGAAGGCAGGCTGGCCGGCCATTCCGAGGCTGTCTCAGTGCCAGAGGGCGGGGTGGGGTTGAGGGGGCGCAGGGGGGACTCTGTCCCCTCCGTGGCCGGTGTGAGGGAGGACCAGGTCTCCTTTTGGTTTCAGTGGCAGAAGGGGGTGTCAAAGAGTCTGTCCTCATTTCATCATCTGCAAATGAAAGGACCAGAAAAACGTCGATTTGAAATGAACGTTCAGATGCGGAAGCCTTGACTCCTTGTCTGAAATCTGGCCCCCGCCCTCCTGCCCCTCCCCAGCAGTCCAGTGTGAGGGGGAGGCGTCAGCAGCAGGCCAGGCTCAGGTTCGGAGGCGGGAGTCGGGGTCCTGTTCCCGGAGCAAGTCCAGCGAGTCCGTGTTGCGTTGCGCCAGGGTGTTTCGGGCTTCCACAGGCGGCGGGCTGCACCACCCTGGGCCGTTGTCCCCACCTGAGAGCTGCCTCCTTTCAGCTCCTCGTCCCCGAGGTCCCCTCGAGGTCCCGGGGAACCAGCCGCAAACTTTCATCTCTTCCAGATGTGAAATCAGAGCCCCGTCGGTTGTTGTATCTCTGAGCGCTGCTCTGAACGTGGGGAACTTGAGACGGAAACGCAGAGGCCAGGCCCCCCATTGACGCAGGGCAGGGCCCACACGAGGGACCCCACGTGGGGGGAGGGGACGGAGCCTGGGATTCGGGGCCACGCAGCCCAGCGTGGGGACCGCGGCAGGCAGGGATCTGGCCCAGTTTGTCGTGAAGCAGCCTCGAGCGTGAATGACGCGGCCCTGGAAGGCGGCACCGGCTTCCCTGCGGCCCAGACCCCGCCAGGACTCAGGTCCAAGCGCCTGAGCCAGACGCACACGCCCCCAGCTGGTTCTCTGATTCCCCTTCGAGCCGAGCAAGCAGCCCTCCTCTGGGCTTCGGTGCTCACGCTGCTCGTGCACTCGCCGGCGCTGGTGTTTGAAGCCGCTGCCCGGCTGGGATCCTGGGGTTGGAAGGCGGGCTGGCCAGAGCCCCGGAATTCACCTGGCTTAACACACAGTCACCTGTGGCATCGGCCGCCACTGACCCGTCGCTTCCAAAGTAACGACGTAGTGAGCGTTAGGTTCCTCATCCCCAAAAAGGATATTAGACTGTGAGAAAAATTAGTGAAGATGAGTTCTTCTCAAAACCAGAAGAAGCCACACTCTTATTCTTGGCTCTTTCCAGCCGGAAATATTGGCCCACGCTCAGAGCATCCACCGAAAGGTGCCCTTACTTGGAAAGGCAGCGGGTTTCACACCCGGACCCCACACCCGTAAGAAACACACTGAAAGTCCTGTTCACGCCCGGCCGACGCTGCACGAACCATTCCCACGGTCCCCGGGGCGAGCCCACAGCAGAGGGGGGCTCTTCACAGCCGTCACACGTGAGCCCCACCTGCCCCGGCGCAGCCCAACTCCTCGGGGCCACGTGACACGGAACAGGACAGTCAGGGGCAGGGACACTGCCCGTCAGGGGACTAAGATCCGGGGGCGGGGGTGCAGGCCACGGACGGTAGAAACACGGTGTTTCCTCGGACGGTGCTTCTCTTTCTCCTCCCCCAGCAGATCCGTCCACATCCACAAAACTCATAAATGCTGTCACTTAGCATCTTCCTGAAAAAACGCTTTTCTATTATAAATCGCTTACCATTTCCAGGTAAAAGCATAATTCCAAGAGAAGCTCTTCTAACTCAAACTCATGTTCTCAAAAAGTTGTTTGAAAATTCCTAGCTAGTTTTACCCACCCCCAAACACACACATTCTGCTTCTGGTGGCTCTGCTCGGACCTGGACGATGGTGGATGGTGGGCGTGGTGGTGCCTGGGTGGTGCTGAGCCTTCGCCGCGTCTGACTGGCCTTCTCCACACGGAGCCGTGCCGTGGCCGTGCGCAGGGGTGACACCCAGACGCTGGCACTCTCCCCTCTTTTACACAGACATAGAGTTATCTCCAGAGCCGGGGAGACTCACTGGTGCGTCCTGCGTCCCGCTAACCAGCATCCCACAGCGTCACGTCCAGTTCATGAAAACACCCCAACGGAGCCGTACGCTCCGGCTGTCGCACCATGGCCCTGCTTGTGTTTCATGCTTTACCCGCTCCCTTGTGGTGGGAGCTGTTGTCCGTGGCGACGCATCGATGCACAAGTTTGGTGGTCTGTGGCTGTGTGTCCCCTCACTCTTGTGAGACCTGGCCTGGGGAGGGCAGATAAATAAATCGGGAGAACGAGGGTTAGGGTCCCGCCCTCGGGGTCCAGGGCCAAGGTCAAAGTCTAAGCCATTTCTGTAGTACGCAGCTAGAGGGAAAAGGCCCTTCATTTTGAGTTTGGTGATTATGGGCTTGAAAGTCGGCCCCCACGGGCCTGGGAGAGAAGAGGGCCCGCCGCCTGCCTGCAGTCCAATGGGGAGTCTGAGAAAAACGCAGACAACGTTAGGTTCCTACGTTTTCCTAAAAGTCCCCACCCACCCCCCTGATGGTCCTAAAGGGGGGTTGGAAAAGCAACTAGAGTTTCTTCCCGTGCATATATATAGTACTTTTTTTTTTTATCCTGGAGAAACCAAAGCACTTTAGTGAGTCTTACAACCCGTACACTTATGGCGTCTTGTTCCGGCACTGGGTGTCTGGAGGCAGGGAGTGGCTGGGGTCCCCGTCTCCTCTGACGGGCAGCTAAATGTGGGGGGAAGCCTTGAGCCGGGGGTGAGGACAGGAGGTGACAGGTCTGAGCAGGCCCTCACCTGCTGTGCAACCGTGGGCAAGCCGCTTGACTTTGCTGAGCCTCGGGCTCCCCGAGGGAAGGCCG